TTTTTTACTTAGTTTTGATCATAGAATCGGCCTGTTCAGGGTTGGCAGCTAATTATGAGACACCCTGGACACCCTGTATATCAGTTTATCATGTTTTAAGGGCCCCCTCAAAAAATCAGCCCAAAACAAATGTTTTAGAGGTCGCTCAAGATTTTCGTAAATTTCCAAAATCGTCAAAAATTGAATTTAAAAAAAAATTCTCGTTATTTTTTCATTTTCTAGGTTGAAAAAAATCTCGATTCTGATAATTTCAAATCGATATTTTGATTTCTATATTTTTATTTAAAAAGTAAATATCAACGAACTTATATTTCTTTTCTATTGAATTTGTTGAACAAAAGAATAGAAATAAATCCTGAGATACTTAAATTTTAAAAAATTAAAAATTTATAAATACTTGGTATAGTGCGGTAGTAAATTTTGCCTCGAGAAATTTTTTTAATTGTCTCGTGATTTATTTCTATTCTTTCGTTCATCAAATTCAATAAAAAAAAATATTAGTCTGTAGATATTTATTTTTAAAGGTCGCTCGAAAACATTTTAGGTACTTAACACTACTTCGAAAGTTAAAATAATTATGAGTGACCTTTAGAAATTAAAATATCGATTTGAAATTTTCAGAATCGAAACTTTTTACGACATAGAAAATGATAAAATAATGAGAAAATTAAAAAAAAAATCAATATTTGACGATTTTGGAAATTTTTAAAAATCTGTTCAATATCGTGATCGTGATCTTTCACAGCGAAAAATTAAAGGAGTCCTTGTCTTACTCAAAGTGACTTGTCTATAAAACGCCAGCATTAAAGAAAAAATCCAGAGGTTGAAATTCTGCGGTCCTATACTTAAATAAACAGAAGCGTTTTCATTGAAGTTGCTTGACTTGTTTTAGATGTACATCTGACACTGCTGTTCTTGTTTAACGTGTTCTATTCTATATTACACAGTGTCCTATAAGAAGTGTTCATTTTGTTCACCTTAGAGACCATCCAAAGCAATATGGTACGCAAGAATTGAAGTAAAACAATAGATTGTACATAACACCTGTAGAAAGTAGATGCAAAAAGGCAATAGCAATGTCAGTAGCATTAACACTTTTTACATTTCTTTTATTTTCATTCCGTTCACCCTGTACGAGATAAAACCTTGCAAGATACACCCACGTGCTCGTGGCGTTTTTTGATTGGAAACGCTATGATAGGTTTTAGTAGTTTTATAAATGTCTGAAGCAAACATGCTAAAATTTATTATTCATTGTGTATTGTGTTTTATTATCTTTAACGATACGTCTGGAAAGCCTGTTAGCAGTAAGTCCTATTTAAATAAAAAATATTAACCCCCACTGTTTGTGCAAGAAAATATATACACTCTATGTAAGATGTAAGGAAAAAACTCGTTCAAATTTTCATCCAGTTCAATTTAAATATACTTACTTTTACACCTTTTACAAGAATCATAATTAAAAATCATCTTCAGTTCAATTTTTTTTCGACTACAGTTTTTTCTTTCAAATTAATGTTTATAAATTAAATTATTCGTGTGTTTATTTCATTTGTTCTACAGATGATACTGAGCTGGGGGTCTATGTGCCATTGGAGACTGATGTCAAAAATAATAAACAATATTATTTTGGGATTGTTTATAAGGTAATTGATTGAAATAAATCACCATGTATCTATTTTCTNGGAGTATCACACTCAAAGTCCCCAGAAAGTAAATGTGTGGTGCGGCATAGTCGACGGAAGAATTCTGGGTCCCTATTTCATTGACGTCAACCTAACTGATGCAATATATTTGGATTTTCTTCGACCTCATTCCTGAACTAATAACTTTATATCCAGATATAGAGGGACATGATCTTCAAATAAATGACATTTTCTTTCAAAGATGGTGCACCTCCCCATTATGCAACACCTGTCCGTGCTTATTTAGATGAGCTGTTCCCGAATCGTTGGATAGGGAGAAGGGGGCCGATTGAGTGGCCAGCCAGATCGCCTGACTTGACACTCCTAGATTATTTCTTGTGGGGATACTTAAAAAGCAAAGTATACGTTACTAGACCGGTTAATTTAGAAGATTTAAAAGCAAGAATTCGTCACGAGATAACATCGTTTACCTCCTGAAGTTATTGATAATGTCCAAAAATAATTTATTAATTGTCTTGGCTACTGTCAGGCAGCCGACGGTGCACAATTTGAACATTTAATTTAGTCGATTTTTACATAATCATTATCATTTTCAGTATTATGAAAATTAAATTTTAAAATCTTCAAACATTATTTTCTTGAAATTTTTGTTATGTAACACCATAATTTTTTATGATCTGTGTATGTAGAATGACACGCTCTTTCAAATGGCATGGTCAAAATTGGGGGTTGCTATTTAAAAAAATTGCCAATGACGTCATATCTAGAACAACGATGACGTCTCAAATATGGGTCGTATGTCAAAAAGTGCCTTTTTTAAAAACAAAATCAACATGGGATTTTTTCGAAAACTTCTCAATTTAAAAAATAATGAATTTATTCGTTACTTTTCGAAAGCACTGTACATACACACTCGTATCCATTTATAATGTATCTATATAAAAAAAAAATTATTTGATATTAATTTAATAAAAAAATAAGAATAAATTCAGTAAAATTAAAAAAAATTATTATTTATAATTTTTAGGAAATTTTTCTATAAGGGGTAGGGTTTTTTAATGGGGGGTAGTCTTCCATAAGGAATTTTTGGGTGGCTGAAAAGTTGCAATATATCGTAATTCATTTGAAAACCAATAAAATGTTTATAATTGCAACATGTGCATACCATTAAAACATCTCAAGCTTTCAATAATATTTTATTTTATTATAAGGGGTTGTTTTTAAGGGTTCCAACTTTGTAATGAGTCGTAAGTTTCTATTGAACAACAAATGAAATGCAATACATTGTGAATGCACGAAAAGAATATTTTATACTGTTAAAAACTTTTTTTTCTATTTTTTTTGGCCATGGAAGGATCGTTTTTAATGGTTGAAAAGAAATTAAATTTCATAAATTATATAAAAAAACATGAAAGGAACTTTATCCAACTTTTTTTTCGTGCAAAGGTAGTTTTCACCCCCAAATAGAAAAAAACACACATCTAGACAATATAACTTTTGAAGCGGGGGTCAGAAGATCTTGTATGCAGATTTTCAGAAAAATCCATGCTATCCGGAAGAATTGGGAGCTTTTACTTTATTTTCGCCTCACTGGGGATGGACCCTATCGCCTGGA